TAAACTTGGTTTAGCCTTATGCATTAATTCATACAAGGTGTGCCCGGGGATCGCACAAGATGGTAAGCGATTCTTTAACCAAGTGGCATAATTGATAGCTTTGGCCCATAGGAATTTTGGAAGATCCTTTGTGATCAACATGGCCTGTGCATGTTCGACCAGGGTCCTATTAAGTCATTCTGCTACACTGTTCTGTTGAGGCAAGTCATGAACCATAAGTTGATGTTGTATTCCCTTCTCTTGAAGATATTCATCAAACTCTTTACTAAGGTATTCTCCCCCTCAATCTGAATGGATTTTGTGTAGACGTGCACCATGTTGACGGGTTACATAAGCCTCGTAGTGCTTGAATGCGGTAAGTGCTTTGCTCTTCTTCTTCAAAAATTCTATCTTTGTCTCCCTGCTGTAATCATCAGTGAAACTGATGTAATACAGACATCTGCCTATAGTTGCAGTCTGCACAGGTCCCCATAGGTCTGTGTGGACCAAATCTCTGTAGGTATGTGCTCTTGTCTTTGATTCTTCAGGAAATGGCTGATGGGTTGCTTTCGCTTTTGTGCAGGTTTCACAATATTCTGGTTTTGAACCAATATCAAGGTTTATTCCTCCAATGATATTCTTCTTTACAGCATTGAGTAATGCTGTTTGCGAGATGTGTCCTAGGGCACTATGGAGTTCATATATGGTGTGTTTGGTTCTTGCAACATTTGCGCATTGCTGATTTTGAGAAATGATGCTATAGAGTCTGTCTACTTGCAGAATAGCTGCTATGATCCTTTGTTTGGGAGCAGGTGACATTTTTTTGCAAAGTTTATCTTCAAAGAGGATAGAAAATCCTGCTGCTGCAATGTGGTTGGTTGATATCAGGGTGAAGGCCATCTTTGGCATGTATAGTGCATTCTTGAGTGTAATGCTTGTTCTTTTATCCCCTAGTGGTAGATCTATGCTGACATCTCCTCATCCTATAGCATTGATTGTAGATCCATTGGCCGTATGCACTTTCTGTCCTTCGATTGGGGCAAAAGTTAAGAACTTTAAGTGATCAGGGCAGAAATGGGAAGTAGTGCTGGAATCTATGATTGCCCTGCATTTTTCAACAGGCACATCTAGTTGCTTTGCTATCGCAACCATATCTGACGAAGCAAAAGCATATTCCTTTGTGCTTTCATCTTTGGTTGCTGTGTTTGCACCTTGCCTGTGCATACTTCCTCCTTTTCTCTGTTTCGGTCCCTGACCTTCCTTTCCACCTCCAGGTCTCCAACAATCGGTCTTATAATGGCCTTTGTGATTGCAATTGTAGCACGTAATGTCCTTGTTAGTGCTATCTCTGGTGTGATTCTTCTTTCCACTCATCTTTGCTGACAAAGCACTGTTTCCAGCTTTCTTCGATGTTCCGTGGTGTGATGATCATATTCCCACTAGGCTTGCAATGGCCATCTTTTGATATAGGTGATGGAAAGCTACAAAACCATCGACCGCTTTTCCCGCACTCAACCTGCTCTGGACGCGTATTCCTGCGCTCTGTGGACCCATGCATTCACTCCTGCGCTGCACACATACCTGCGGTCAATTTCCTGCGCCTTCAGACTACCTTACAGATGTCCCGTGTCAGTCCATTGTCCATCCTACCTCATTGGTATGTATTTTGCCTTGCCTCGTGTGTTGTAACAAGTGTTGCAGTCTTATTACATGTCTTTACATATTCCTACTGCCTGTCTGTCCTGTCCCTTCCATTTCCGAGAGGGTTAGCTAGTATAAAGTGCCTAGAGTGACTACTTCATATTTACTTCCCTTCTGCAGTATTTCCTTCCCTTAGGTTTTACTTAGGAGCAGTCACCATTAGTGCGCGCTTTTTAGCCCCTATTGGTTACCTTATACCTGGACACCTTACCTTGACTTTCCTTACCCATGCAATCAATACCCTTGCCCTCACTTGTTACCTGCGCCATTCCTTAAGACTTCCCTACCCTAGCATCTTGCACTTCCGCATCGACCACTCATCAACCACTCATTGACTGCACTTCCGCATTCCCGCACTCTACATACCCGCGCACTTGTTCCTGCGCTCTGCGCACTTTCGGGTCTTTAGTATCATTGGCCGTTCTCAGTAGCAATTCCCTTTAGGGTCAAATGTTCTTGCTTGCAAGTGTAGCAGCTAGGCAGAGCATCAACCTACAACAATATTTTTGGTTAGGCACATTAACAAGTGTCTAGCCATTGTTGTGTTTGCACAGCAGTTTAGTTGTCGATGTTCATACTCTTCAGTTACAACATTGACCAGCTCATATGAGGTAAGGGGCTTCTGCGAGATTCAAGCTGTGGCATTAACAGATGAGAGTAGGGGCCTATAGGTTTCTGGGAGAGATCCCATTATTATGGCTGAAAAATCTTTGTCATCAATTGATACTCCCATCCCCGCTAGTGATTTGCGAAGTCAGTACAACTCTCCAAAGTGTGCTTTCACATATCCTCCTTCCTCACATTGAGTTTCCTGTAGTTGACAGTGCAAATCTATTTGCACCAGTTTGGTCTTGCCTTCGTGTATGGTGCGTATTTCTTCCCATATCTTTGAGACTTCATCCAGATTCTGGACATGCAGCAATAGCCAATCTGAGATTGTGCTGAATATGTGCTGTCTAACAAGTGAGTCCTTTTGATAATGTTCATCAATTTTCTTCTCTAATTCCTTGATTTTGGTAGCTGTTGCCAGTGTAGTGCCATCTGGCTTTACCATTTGTCCATTCATGTTCATTGCATATGGGACAGGTTTGGTTACTTGACTGTCTAGGTACCACATCAAACCTCAGGTGCCAATCACCGTTTTTGCTCTTTGTTTATACATTATCCAGTTCAAGCCATCTTTGGCAAGCTGGGGTATGTTATAGAGTGCGAAGCTGGAGCTGGGGAGCATGGTACTGTTCATAGTCGAGGCAGGGCTCATAACCTCTGGTTATGAGACTTTAGAAGTTAAGGTGAGACTTGAGATATTATTCCAACTCTCTGCTAATGTAAATAATCATACAGTTTATATACTACAATATGCTATCCTAAGTATCCAATCCAGTGAGTCTATGTTTTGGACTTGTCTTTCTTCCATGCTGTGCTTACAAATATTCTCTGGTTCCGGCTATTCCCATTACCATATTACTAACTACTGCACTCAGTCTTTGTCATATCCATCAGTGCACAACAGCTCATACACTGTGCCCCTTACTCAAGTATGGGCCCTTCATTTCATATGAGGTCTGATGATGGTCTGATGAAGTCCGGAGGAGCACAGGAAATGTCCGGAGGAGTGCGGGAGAGTTCCAGAGGAACACAGGAAGTGCTCAGGAGAGTTCCCACTGCAAGGTAATACTTCTACAGGAAACAGGATGGAAGGATGGGAGGTCTAAAGGTCCGGAGGACAGAGGACAGAAGGACAGGATGTCTGAAGGTACAGAGGGATAGGACATCCGAGGGTTAGGAGGACGGAACGTCCAAAGGTACAGAGGGATAGGATGTCCAAGGGTTAGGAGGGCAGAACGTCCAAATGTATGGAGGGTGGAACATCCAAAAGACAGGATTCCCAGAGGTACAAGGGATGGGAGGTCCGGAAGGAATAGGGGCTACATCAGACGAAGTCCAATGTAGAAGCAAACAGAGGTAGACTACCCTAAGGTAGAGTCAGAGAGAACAGGGATTGGACCTAAGTCCGGAAAGAGGGTAAGTGCCGGAAAGGCAAAGCTCCAGCCTAGGGAATCAATCCCTAGGCCTGATGAGAAGGACAGACTTAGGTGGACCAAAGTCTGAGAGAGGATTGGGCAAGTCTAAGTTGATATTCAAACTAAGGAACTACAGGAGTATCTACAGGGGTTATATACTGAACAATATCTGAGGGGATCAGTAAGCAAAGGAGCAAGGCTATGTATGAGCATGTGGAAACACATTAGTAAGTAAGACGGAACATAAGTAAATGAACTCGGAGATGAAGACTCGTACAAGGATCAATAAGCAAGATGGAACAAGAGGTAACCAAAAGCCAGAAAGGCGGAGATGTCTAAATGGGGATAGGTGCAGGATATCAGACAGAGGGTGGGAATAGGTCCAGAGTTAATATCCGGAGGTCCAGAGATCTGGGGATCCGGAAGACAAGGTGGATACAGGACTGGGATATGAGAAGGTGGATATAGTCCAGAATCTGAGACAAGGTGAAGTCTGGATGTCTTGCTGGATGGAGTGCGCATAGGGTGGACAGGATAGGGTGGTACGGATCAGGCTAGCAGTGAGGATCTGGAGGTCCGGAGCTCAGGGATAAATCTGGAGCGGAGTCAATCCTACTGAGGTGTGGAGCACACAGCAGAAGGGGATCTGGGAATGAGTTGGATATGAAGTGGGGTCTGGACATAGGCTTGGAAGGCGTGGGAATATTATGGAATGTGAGTCCTGATTGTGGGATATGACACTTTAGCTCTGCAGCATAGCAGAGCTGTTGAACCTTCACCGACATTCATTATATTGCCTCATTCTCAATCTCGACACACTGGAGATGGGAATTATTTAATGAATGTAGTAGTTAAGCAATGACTTTGTTCTGGGTAATTTTTATTTTAATGTCACCCTTGTAGTCTGACAGCCTTTGGAGGCTCTGATAACCGAGAAAATGAGCCTCTCAAAAAAACTGCATGTTTTAAACAGAAATGTTAACTCATTATTACTGTAGGCATGTGTCCTGGAGACTTGATGCACATCAAACTGAAGTGAAAATGTCTGAATGTAGAGGGCACCCACCTTTTCATTAAGTTGGGAGGCACTACATGTTACCATTTCTGGAAAGCTCCACTGCCAGTGTGGTGGCATACCTTCAAACTTCAAAGTTCACATTTTTGAGCTTCCTCAAACTTACTAGAATTTTCCTCATTCCAAAGGTTTCTCTCGCACATGGTCTGCGCATTATCAATTGATTGTTATCTAGAGCTGGTGCTACTTTCAAACACTGTCTAAGCACTACCTCCTGCAAGATGGCCATGACCAACAGCACATCAAATTCACCCTGCAGCCTCATTGATTCTGCCATGCTCACAGATTCACAATCTTTTTCTATTTCTTGGATTGTGAGTAGTTGTCTAATTGGATGTTCAAACATTACTGACCTGCTTCTAGCTTGTCGATGTAGCCGTGTCAACAGAGGACACCCTACCCACTGAAGTCTCTGGAGGCTCCTGCCTCAGTGAAGAATGGAAGAACCTTGATGGGATACCTTGTATTATGGGTGGGATGAGGGCACTTACTGGTAAGATTAATCATGACACATTCATCCTATCTAAAAATCATTTCAGCATCACTTGGTGGGATGCTCCATGGGCGCACAAGTGCTGACTTCCCTTGGAAAACTCTCCCAAAGGAACTAGCTCGCCTCGGGTATGTCCTCACCAATTACCCTGATGATACCTTGATACCTGGTGAGCTGCGCCCCTCTCTCTCTCGCACCAAAGGCATCCATGATCTGAGCCACCACCATTGTGTCAATCTCGTCAACCACCTCAAGGCAGGCACCCTCACCATTCGAGCAGTGAAGAGCGATGCTGCTTGTACACATCTCACTATCTCAAAGGACCCTGTTATAATCGGAGAAGCCCCCTCAGCTTGCTCTTTGCACTCCATGGGCGGCGTGCATTTGCTGATGGTCGAATCGACAGAAAGGGTCTTCCTCATCTTAGTTTACCTTCTTCTTTACCTTCTTCTCATCGTCACACCCAAGTTATTGTGGAAATCACATGACCACCTCCTCGTCAAGCTTCTCGAGCAGTTCCAAAACCATCTGCTGTGCATATCAGTGATCTTATCCCACACATCGCTTCTGTCAAGGGGAGACCATCCAGTTCTGAGGACAATGACATGACTGGCAGTGCAAATGATGAGGATGAGTCAGAGTTGCAATCTAGTGACAGTGAAAGTTGCTGTGCAAAGTGCCTTAGATGTTGATCAAAGTCCATCCTATCATCAAACGTAGATAGCAGATGTATGTAGGTCATACTTTGGGACTAACCTAATTCTGACATTGTGTTGTCTTGGGCATGAAGTAGATTTTTAGCCATGGATTAATGAAATCTTTAGTCATGAAGCCATTTGATACCAAGCCCCCTTTGGAGCCTCTGGAGCCTCCAGAGGTTCACCAATTCACCATCTACACCCTCCTCAGTGGACCTCCATGATGTCTGGTACATTGTTTGCTTCTAGACCTCCATTTTTCTAACTTGTTTAATCTCGAAATTAAGGACTTCCTTCACACACACTTAAATTTTGATATAAGTATGAGGTGTTGTGCCCTCCTTTTTTTTACCCACCTTTTGGATCTGCAATTCCAGTGAGTATTTTCATTGCTACGTGCCATTTTTTCTGATCTTGTGCAAAGGGCATGAAGCTTAATCTATTGGACTACTATTCTGACCCTACCAATGACCAGGCATCCTCGCCTCCCACGTACCTTCCTGCATTATCACCTGCTGCTATGGATTCCAAATACATGCAGGGAGGATATGCACAGGAACAGTTCGGAGGTGGTCAATACAAGGATCCACCAACAGAACTCACTCCATCAAGACTACAGAGCAAAATCAAGCCCACATCACACAACGTTGGTATCACAAGGGATGCTGCTATCTGACATCAAGCAGCCTGCACTCCCAGCAACTATACCACTAATACCTTTGCATCTGGTAATTCTTATCAAAGATCTTTTCTCCAGATTTCTGACTTTGTCCTTGCTGCTAGAGTCAATGCACCCCAGCCATCACAACTCTCCTTTCATTGAGGCCATGCCTCCTCAATGCCCTGCACAGACTCAAGATCTATTTTCCAGCACATTGGCACCCACTAGCCAGCAGCTGCAGCCGGTCATGCCTCAAAATTTGGACATATTCACCTAGCAGCCCCAGTATGGTGCTCTCGATCAAAACTCCATGGTTCCTTATAACCTTCTCACCATACTGTCTGGAGTTTGGCCATTGTGGCCATGTGCCATCACCTCTGATGGAACACGAGGCTCCCAGACTCTCCCCTAGCCCACTTGCTTCATATTTGCAGTTACTGACCTCACCACTTCTCATGCCTACAGTTGCAGGCCCAAGCTCTCAGGGAGGTTTGCAGCCCAATATGCATGGGTCAGACAGGCCCTGGAATTTTTCATCCATAGTGTCAGCAAACTCTTTGCCACCTCAAGGAGCTGTTCCAATGACACATATCATCCCACCAACTCCCCTCAAGCCTTTCGAGCTTTTGGCTCCGCCTTCTGCTGGTGTGCCATGTCACTGTGCAGTCACATTCAGTCCATCAGCCACTGGAATATCTCAAGTTGGGTCTGATGTTATGATGGATGATGATAATGCTCCCATTGCTGGTTGACATTCATCAGAGACAAACTCTGCACTCAAAGAAGGGTGCGCTGCTTTGGATGCCACTGTCAATGATACTGCAAAGAATACGAATATGCTGTCCTACCAGGTAATCAACCTGTGGATGAAGAGTCAAGGTCAAGTGATCAATAGCACCAACTACTGGAATCTTTACACAGGGTACTTCAAGGACTGGATGCACCAGGAACTTGTAAGGCTTGGTGATGGCACTCCTCCTCAGGATGGTTCAATGACACCAAGTAAGTGATTTGTTTATACTGTGTGCTTTTTGCTCAGTGCCACATATTGATCTTACAGGCACTGGTGTTCACTGTCAGTGCTATGAGCTCTTCAAGAAAAGCTACCCAGACACTTATCAGGACATCCTTGATACCTACAGAGAACTCAACATGCTGACAGATAATCAAACCATTGTGCAATGCACTTAATCATTCCAGAAACTTTATAAGAGGGTAGGAAGTATCATGAGTAATTTCATTCTGATTCTGTAATATTTTCTGATAAGTTGAGTACCTTACCTGTAGCTTGATGGAGCTGCTACTAGGCAAGGGTTCGAGGCCACCATCATCATGTGTGGTAACATTGTCAATGAAGATGCATCACTAGGCCATGTTCACACGATGCCTGACGCTGGCGGTGTAAGTGTTACCCTCCTTGAAAGTATTTTATGTATTAACACCTCTGTAGTTTTTCGAAAAGTGCTGCTGAGCTAGTGATGATGCCATCATTGGGCATATCAAAGCGCATGTGTACAACACCATCTCGCTGTCTGCTGTGGAGCAGGCTTTTGTCATATGCCATTCCAGACTCTCAACTCTAAATCCGCTTCTCCAGATATCTGGATCTGAGATCCGGGTCTCAAATGATCTGATCTATCTTCATCTCCCTTCCAGAATCCAAACCCTATATCAGCGCCCAACCCCATTTAGACTTCCCCTGTCTCTGGACTCCAGTTAACCATGTTTCCCTTTTGATTATTGATCTGTTACATACATTTCATTTCCAGTGTTCATTATTTGTGATCTGTCCTACTTACTAATAGACTTTGCATATGCTTCATACATAGCCTTTATGTTTGCTGACTGATTCCTATATGATACCTACAGTATATAAACCTCCTGTAACTCTCAGAAATACTCCAGTTCGAATATCATCTTAGTTCCTGCTCATTCCTGTGTCCTCTGGACTCGAGACAAGTCTCCTGTCATATTCCGAGTCTTAGGATTGCATCCTAGACTACAATTCCAACTCTACCTTAAGGTAGTCTATCCTCTGTTAGTTTCTAGTCCGGACTTTGTCTGGATTAGTCTTATTTGCTTGCCCAGGTAATATCTGGACGTCCATTGGATTTATCTCACATTTCAGATCCAGACGTCCATTGTCCACCCTAGTCAAATCCTGGAAACTCCAGACAACTGCTCTAGCCCCCAGAAATTAAGGGCACATACTTGGGAAAGGGGCACAGTGTACGAGCTGAGGCCAAGCCCTTGTGATCCAACCCCCTTGAGCACGCAACCTTAACAGCTTTCAAGGGCATGGAAGGAGATCAAGAGCAGGTGCCGATAGAGATCCTGGATGTGAGCTCATCTAAGTCAGAGAAGGAGAAGGATGCATTGAAATCACTGAAGGCTGGTCTCATCAAGCAAGTTGGTACATAGCACATCACGTCCTGTGGTTTTATGAGGTCGTGACATTTTTTCCTCAGCAGACCTTGGTGGGAAGTTTGCTGACAGACCTTTCCCGTGGATCCTGATGCCTAGTTCCCTCACTAACGACCATCTACGCATCGAGGAGTATCCTGCGCACTTGAGTTTGATGCCAGGAGAATCTCATAACATCAATTCACAGAGTAAAGGTGTTGTGGGACTGACACAACATGAAGTCAATGTGCTTGCTCATTTGTTCAAGGCAAAGACGATGCGCATTGTTAAGGTAACCAAAACCATAGGAGGTATGTGCCAATACACTTATTAGACCACTTTAGCTCATAATAATTTGACAGGCACAGTGATAGCCTCCAAGGAGCCTGTCATCATTGGCGAGGCCCCTCCAGCAGACTCTATTTTCCCAAATGCAAGGCGGATGTTTGTTAATGGAACATTTGATTATGGTGGCCCTCCATGCCTTCAAGCCAGCTCTGCCATTACCAGGAAGAAGAAGCCAAAGGTCCCCATGTCAGCACACACTCAGGATGATGTTACAGGTATTGCGGCCAAAGACACCATGACAACCATCTGGAAAACCAACTTGCATCCTGAGGTACTCATACCTCCTCCATCACGTCCATTTAAGCTTGCAAAGTGACTCCCTACTAAACCAGTGCCAGCTCCCATATAAATTCTGTCCAGTACAGATGGTGTCGAGAAGCCTGATGAGGAGCCTCTCAACTTGTCCAATGGTGAAATCCATAGCGAGGATAATGCCAACTATGGTGATTTTTCACATTCATGGAAACAGAAGCTTGATACCGGAGTTGTACGAGCTATGAAGAAGCGTGTACAACCAATTGGGTTAGAGGAGGAGATGGCCATTGAGAACAAGCCAGGTGCAAAAGCCACAGGCAAGGCTTGTGCCAAAGGAGGGCACTCATCTCCTCTCACAGTAGGGTTCTCAGGAGAAAAAGAACAGCAACTACAACCTGCTATAGGTAAGTCTTGACAGCTATCTCAGTTCAGTAGTGATCCTGACTGATAATTAAACAGACAATGCAGCAATGCGCCTGCATGATGGATGTCCTGACATTGTGAAAGGTATTTTCTCTACATAAATGTCTGAAGATTTACTAAGATAAGCCCAGTGCGATGTGCACGCCTGGTGACTAAAGGAGGCCAATCTGCTCTCACCAAGACCATGCGTCTCTTGCAAGAAGATGAAGACTCACAAAGTAATAGCAGAGCTGTGCAGTCTGAGACATCGGTTGATCATTCAACCTCTGTGCAAGTCACTGAAGCACCCATTCTTCCAGCAGTGCTGTCTTCCCCATGTAAAACCGAACTTCCTGCTGAACACACAGGTGGTAATGGACAGTCTGGCCATGTCCAAGATGTGCCTCCCCCACTACCACAAAATCTACCACATGCCCCATCTGAGGATATTCGTCCTAGCCCTGTCATTTCTAACCTTGATGCACCAGAACCTCACCATGTTGACCCTCATGGGGCACACAACAATCACTCCCATGAGCCTCACGACACTCGATACCTTCATGGTGACCTGCGCACTCATCGAGACAGCTCTCCTGCACTCCCCAATGATGATTATCACCCCAGTGATGCACCACATGGTGCATACATGTACCATGAAGACTTGGGCCGGCATGCATATGCCAGGTGACCACAACCTGGAGGAGAGTACCCTTATCAGAGGGAATATTTGTATTATGGTGACTATGGTGAACCTTACCCAGGATATGCTTATGCTCCTCACCATGAGAACCCAGGTTATCATGATGCCAGTGGGAATAGGCGGTCATATTATCGTGATGCATGGTATGCAGACCATGAACTTCTGGATGACCATTCGCATGGACCTCCCCCATCAGACATCCGTGGAGAACACATGCATCCAGCTGGTTGTGAAGGTCAAGTTGGCTACCAGCATGCATATCAGCATGAGGCTTGGACAGATGGGCATCGCGGGAGCAGGAGTCCCATTGCCAATGCAGTGCCAGGATCATCTGAAGGAGGCGCCATTCCAAGGTAAATCCAAGGTGTCTGTTGTCTCGATACTATGCTTTTGTACAATGTTCTGATCACTTGCTGCATGTAGAAAATACACCATGATTCATGTCTGATTTGGTGTGTGGGATAATCATTGAAAAAAATTGTGCAAAATTACATTTTGGCATATGAATACAAGATGACATATGGTTAGTTGATGTGTTAAACCAGGTCACTCATGACATGATGCTACCCATACATGGCACACAGAAGTGTTTCCAAAATTAGCAAGATGTTCTCAACCATTCAACTACTCTGCTTGACTACCAACCATTCCCATGATGCCACTGCCACAACCAGTGAGCACAACTTCTTATCATAAATGCCTCTATGGATCAGTCAGTACCTGCAATGCACTCCCTGAACCTCGGAACAAGATTGCTATGGATAAGCTCTTGGAGGAAGAATTCATTGGCACCATCTTATGGGAAGAAAAATCACTCCCCAAAGATGCCAAGTCTGTTATGGATACCCTTATCTTACAGACTAATTTCACTCCAGCATCTCTCAACAAAATTTACTATTTCAAGTCTGGGCCAGGAGGGAAGAGGGTTAAGAGTGGGTCTATCTTTCAACCTGCTGCGTGCCATGGCGCGAATGCAGAATGGCTGTTTGATAACAGGAATGTCCAGCCAAAGTTGTTGGTAGACTCCAGAAAACAGAAGAAGAAGGCGCAGGTACAGAAGGGACAGGGATGAAAGGCAGGCAGGGTGCAAAAGACACAACCACGCACACAGATGAGCATGGCATTGGCCACATTGACCGATACAGAAGTGGAGATATTGGATTCATCTTTCACAACACCTGAAACCAACAAGAGCTTCGGTGCCAAAGGATACAACAACAAGCACCCCAGCAAGAAGCGGCTTTGGCATCGGTGACAACAGAGGGCAAGTGGACCCTCCTCTTCAACATCATGCAAGCTGCCATGCACGCAATGTACAAGAAAATTTTCCCAAATCCCTCCACTGCATTCCCCTTTGGTGCCATGAACATTATTGGTGGCCCACTGAAGTGTATTTGGTCCTCCCAATTCTGTAATACTCCCGTCCTGGATGACACCAATGCACAGAAGCCAGATGTTATTCTGGTGGATTGCAATCTATGCAACCTCTCATTGCAATGGTCCAATATTATCACATGCATGGAGCACACAGAAAGTGAACTCGACTCTTCCATACCTTTGTATTATGGTAGCGGCACTAAAGGGTACCTGTTGATGCAAGAACAACCTTGGTGCCAGTTCATCTTGATCTTTACTATTGCCAATAACCTGCTTTGCCTTCACTACTTTGACTGCTCAGGTCTGATCATTTCATGCCCTGTCAATATCCTTGAAAATCCTGTGCATCTTCTTGAGGTTTTAAACACCTTAACGCTCGTGCACACCAACAACCTCAGGTATGATCCCATGATGCATATGTGCGATCCTGCCTGCAAGGGCTCGCATGCCGATCTGTGGGAGAATGCCATAGGCTGGATAGAAAACCATGATAAATCCCATCTATCAATCATGAGTGTGCTTTGGTGAAGCCAAGGTTTCTTTTCTTGTGGCACAATTTGTTATCGTGTTCAGACCTCAGATGGGACAGAGTACGCACTCAAAGACTGTTGGGTCACCGAGGACAAGAAAAACCACAAGGTGACTGTTCTCAAGATGGTTGAAGGAATCCCGAATGTAGTCAAGCTTGTGGCCCATTGGGATGTCCTCTACAATGGGGAGCCGGACTGCACATATCATATTTGAGCTTCCCATGGTGTTTGTACCTCTGGGTTTATTTGCAGATTCCACCAGTGCCTTCTGTTGACCCCCTGCAGAGAACCACTTGTGTTCTACTCCTCGAAGCTTGAGCTGTTGAGAGCCTTCCATGACTTTGTCTCAGGTGAGTCTCGAGTGTGTTGAAATTGAATCCTGAGGCTGACCCATCAGTGTTTAGCTCATAGTTTAATGCTTGCAAGTCACGTCCTCCACTGGAGACTTGAGTCCAAATAATTTTATCATCCATGACAGACAAGGTTATTTTATTGACTTTGATCATGCTCACATTATTGCAGAAGGCGCTGTTAGTGTTCCTTCAGAGGGCATGGTGAGTGATACTTACAATTTTCATAGCATGGCACATGGCTGAGTGTGTTATCTGAAGGGTACTAGGCCCTATATGTCAATTCATCTTCTCTGGGAGGGTATTGCAAAGGGTGCAACAATCCAACACACAGCAAGTGATGACCTGGAGTCATTGTTTTTATCTTCATTGAATTTGCGACCACCTTCAACAGGCCACGTGGCTTCACTGAAAGATGAGGGCAGGAGGCCCTTGTGGGTTGATAAATTTGAGACCTCAGGCGCTGATCCCTGGTTGGCAAAGCAGGGATATGTGCTTGCACCTCGCAATGACTTGTCATTGATGGAAAAAACTACTTCATTCTTCGCACCATTCAGTCAAATCATACAGGAGTGGCATCATCTAATTCTAGCAGCAGCCAGTGACCCAAGCAACCCCCCCATTGGTATAACTCATGCAGTGCTCGTGGCACTCCTGAAAAAATGGATCTCTCAGCTCCCTGTGGATGCTCCCACAGAAATTATGGTGCCCATGGCATCATCATCAAGATTGGGACATCCTCCACACAACAACAGTCCAATCATCCATGGGTGCTTGTCATTCTATGCACATCCAACAGAGAGTGTCATAGCCCACAAACCCTCCTTGTTCTTCCCACATCCAAATGAGACAACCCTCTTCTCACATGTCTTTTCTGTGTATGTTTTTCATTGCAATGCATTTTAGTATGATACAGTGTAGTATGCCACATGTTATATGATAGATACCTTCCTGATCCAAATATCAATGATGGAATGTTTGATACCCATGCCTTCACTGGAGAGGTCCTAGGTACATAGGCAGGCACCACTTTTCTCCCGTTCCCACAGTCTTAGAGACCTCATTTCTTTGTAGAGCGCAAAAGAGCACCATGGAGACAAGAGGAGTAACAGGAGCACCAAGAGCTCCACAGGAGGTGAGAGGTCTCATACTCACACGGGAGGGTACATCTCACAGACTAGTTGCGCTCTAAAAAGAAACCAGGTCTCTAAGACCACAAAAGTGGTGCCAAGGGTGCATGGGGCTGTGGATAGAAATGAAATTAATGATGTGGGTGTTGCATGCATAACTTGGATTCTGCAAACAGTTGGCCCATGGCATGCTGACCAAACTGAGGATGACCAAACAAATTCATACCTTGCTGATCTACACAACTATGATCACCAAAACCTACGGATCGCCCATCCAGGGTTCTGTATCGGATGTCCACGAATCATTTATGTACTACACCATCATTCGATATTCGACGTTCAACCTCCCATTCCCGATTCACGCCAACTGGTTTACACGCATGTGCACTAGCTATCATGCCTCATGGGCACACAGACATGCACGGGACCGATAGAAAATAATTCGAATAAATACTACGACGGAAATATTGCCCAGACCTGTCTCCTTGAAATCTACTTCAGGACACCAAATAATTAAATAAGTACCGCAACGAGGCTTGGAAGGGAGACAAAAAAAACAAAAATTCTTGCTGTGTACAGACAACCAAACATACAATCGTTAACATCTCTTGTGTCACACACCACTGCCAGTCGATATATGCACGTGCTCCTGGAAAGCGATTGAGGTCATGCCAGGTGCTGCATCGGGGTCGGCCACGAGCTTGGCGTGATATTCTCTAACACCAAGGATCAGGCGTGGTCCTACCACGAACGACTGCACGACCGTCAAAACCTGAAGACACCCAGCACAAATCTGACTATCCAGGAAATATTCCTATAGAAATGATGAACCAGGGTCGTATGCAGGGGTCAGTGAAATATTGACATACCGCTGAGAATGTTGGAGAGAAAATAAGAATAAGGCTGAAGCAAGAAAGAGCAACAAAGCTGGTATGTCCGATCCTTTAGCAGAAATGAGAACCATATCCACAGCATGAGCTCACCTCGCAAAGTAAATCACGTGAGTTTTTATCAATGCCGTAAAACAATCCCCGATAATCCCTCCTGCTGAATGTTGTCGCAGTTCATGGAAGTGTTTTACAGCAATCCAGATTGCGAGACACATTGCGAGGACCTCCCACACAGTGGAGAGTATCAAACTAATTGAATCCAGAAGTAGTATATCTTCTGGGTAGCCAGCCGTGCACTGATAGGTGCCGGAGAGAATGAGTTCCTCTGGTATTCGTCAATAAGTCCCATGTACATTTTGGTCATCCGCAATTAAGCGCACCCCCTGAAATATGCATCGTTATCATTATGGCGACCACTCCGTTGAAAATGTTGACAGTCGTCAAGATGACGATGAGAAATATCAGGATTTTTCTGGATCGTTGATATATGGCATATAACCGAGTAATCATGATGACTTGCAAGATGTTTCAACGTCAATATCACTGAGATCATGCAACTGCAAAGCTCACTACATAGCATTGGAAATACCACAACATTCATCCACTCCATTACGGTGTACAGAATCCAGCCTAACGAATGCAGTCAGTGATCAGCCTCTGATAGATTCCACACTCCAAACAGACTCACATCTGTAGCAGTCATTATAGTGAACCAAGGAGTTTGTCACACACTCACCCCTACAGAGCGCCCTGGTTAAAGGGGAGTAACAACATCGGTGCAAAAGACTCACCGCATCTGTCACCGAGATTGTCGGAACACTGCCTGTATCCTGTTGGTCAAAAGAAGCAAAGACAGTTAATGTACTAAGGAGCCATACCTAGCATGTCCAAGCTGATTATGAGAGACGGATAATCAGCACAACATCGAGTGTTAGGTCTTCTGAACATACGCAGCAAATATGATTCCAACGTAGCGCACCTAGGATACTTTCAAGTCAGCACAACATAATAATCATGACAGGCAAGCTACATACACCGAGATACAGAACTGTCATCAGGGACCAGCGTTGCCTCTGGAATTAAGTGCATTTTCATTGATGTTCCTTTGACATGAGACTCCACTCACCCAGACTAATTCTACCTATAAAACCATTCTTAGCGAGATAGCTGCTCCGACCATGGCATCAACATACCTCTTGTCCAAGTGCAAGTGCTGGAAACATTAGTAGGTGGTCAGCATTGCTTTAATATGATCGTGCTCACCCCAGTCATACGTCACCACAACAAAGGAGGCAACTACGAATCCACAGTCAAAGGTTCGATTGAGACATCAGCTGCGACATCTGACTGTTTTCCACGAACCTACAAAATAGCTTACAACACGATATGAATTGATGAATGGCCACCAACTAGGGTCATCTGAGACAACGGTCATACTGTTAGAGAATGGGTGTAGGTAAGAGGCGAACTTGGTGGATGTATGATGATGGCGTTCGTGCTAGATATAAGTACCACCATCAGGCACATATAACGCAGCGTCGCTCGAGTGAATCAAAGCAGGTGTTGGTTGTGAAACTGCAAAGCAGTCATACACCCGGAATGTCTGGGAACGATCGAAGAGCTGTCCATGGTCTCTAACGCTACGCCTAGAATACAAACAGAAATAAGAAGGACTAGAAGAAAAGAAGACCACGGGCTGGGCGTTGCCCTTGTGACGACAGGAAGCCTTAAAGCCATACAGGCTCATGCCATGAAACATTGACGACGATGTTCTCGATTAGTGCGGCCCGGCTAAGTCTCAAGTCACTGCCTGTTGGCACATCATCACAAGTGAAGAAATGAAAAAAAAATTCAACAAAGTAACGATACTTACTAGTCAACTCACATCTCTCCGGACTGCCAACGCACACTCTCAACGTTCAGAGTTCAAGGCTTAATTCCATGCGGCATGCACCGCTTTCCTCATCCTACCCAAATTCCCGTCCCGGGAACCGATCGCCTCATGCGCAATTCAGGATCCCCTGACCCGGTTATCGGGCCGTTATATCACAGAAATGAGAACAATGTAGTGGTGGGTAGTGCCACTCTGATACCCTGATGAAAACACGCGCTACGCTAAATCCATCATGCAATTGGTGTATGTTGCATGCTGTCGAGATGAGAGGTGGGAAATAAGTAGCATTGTGCATTGTGTACGGCTGTGGATAGAAACAGAATAGCATGTTGAGAATGGCGTCGACCACGCATCATCCACAAACAGACCTTGAACAAAATCGTCTGATTCCAGTCCCTTTCCATATCCTCCGCAGCATTCGATAAGGGGGTGTCACACGATGTCAAAAATGATCACCCCGCGAGGTCAAAACAAGAATCCAGCGGAGAATCCTTGATGAAATGTAAAACACTCCGTAGCCGTATTGGACGGTCCGAGAACACCAACGCGGGCATCGGTGAGAGGGATATACGTCCTCACGCAAAACTCCATTTCAAAACCAAACGAGGGCGATTCGTGAGCTCGACACTATCGAGCGACATGTGCGTTTGGCGAAAATTTTGTGGCACGTCTATGTGCTTTGGGTTGCAACCATTTTAGTCCCTCGATTGTGCGACTGTAAACACGAGGTTGGGGGAGACAGACTGACCTTCTGAGGATCCTAGGGACAGACGTAAATTGGCTCGTCCTCCTTAAACCATGCATCAGCAGCTGGAACTTCAATCTTGAGGAACCCAGTCAAATCCTTTGCGTCGCTCGCTCGATCGAACGGTCGCAGCTCGTGTCTACCGATGACCAAGTCATAAACCTTCGTTCCACGCTCTTTGCTAGAAGAACATTCGCAGAGGAATGTCCACGTCAAATGTGGGGAGGAATAATTAGGGAAGAACAATTTCGCCCAGCTGTATGTATCGGATTGTGAGTTAATCTTATGATACTGTCAAAAAGCTGTTAAGGGACTTACACGAAATTTACATGCCTCGTAGCGACGTACATTCCCCCAACATCAATCCCTGACGTCATCCTCATTACGAGCGCTCTTGAGGGCGGTCCGTGAAACGAGCTTACACTGGAAGGACATGTTAGGAACGACAATTTTCATATCGTTGTCTTTGCCCTAGCAATTGACAGCATGTCAAGAGAATGGAAATGACATGCATTACTTATGTGAAATTTCCAACAGATATGCAGATATATTGAGCGAAGGCCGAAGCATTTAATAAAGCCTGTTGTTTCTCCTCGAGTGGGATAGAAGATCGAAAAAATGAGTTTGAGAAGAAATCGTAGGCTAGAGGGAGACCGGGAAATATCTAGGTTGTGGGCTTTAGGTTACGTTTCTGTGAAGGGAGCACTCTAGGGACAGACTTCACTCGCGGTGGGTCGTTGGTGATGTGGACGAGAACGATGCTCTCTCGGATTCGAGTCCACCCGAATCGACACGATCCCGCCCCCACTATGACAGAGACCGCCCCCGCCGCAGAAGAGTATGAAGCAAATAGGGATGGAGGAACGTGTCGAGGAGGAGTTGTCAGGGAGTGCTCGGATATGGCGATCGCGCGAACTAGGGCAGGTATCGAAGAAGGCAGGAAAGGTTTCTATAATTATCCTCAGTGGTACAAACAATCAAGTCAAGGAGATAACCCAGCGAGCATCTCGACCTTCCAGTTCAAAGTGTTCCTTTTCTTTGTTACCTCTCAAAACTCCTTCCCGACCCAGTTTTGTCTCTTCAGAATGATCAACCTTATGATTCATTCCACGTGCATCTCATTTACAGGTTCCCTTCCCAGTTGACTCGATATCATATTCCATTATATTTCCCTACTAGATTTCCCTGCCTCCCAACCAAGTGCGCATCGGTGCAGGCCGCGATTTTCTGTAGGGCTATCCATGAATGCATTTCCGTGGAAAATGGTGAGAATCCGCGCACCCTATGATCTCATTTTCAACTTGCATTTTTCAGTCTCGAGTCTCGACACACCAACACCACCTACTCAGTCGTCCGCAATCTCTCAAAACCTGCTTATAGCACCCACCAATCTGATGGCCTGTTCGTGATAGTCACGCTCCACCGCCAATTATTGATGTTCCTCTCACCAAGAGTCAATTGTCGTGCTTAGAACACCCGTCATTTTGTTTCAAATGTTTTATCGTTCCTGAAATCTTCTTAATGATACTCGCCCTCCAATGCACACATATTCTTATGAAAATTCGCAATACAGCTCCCTTCGAAGATCGCGGAACCTTCCCTTCTTCAATGCCCTCAAATGATTCAGAGTCAAAGCTCCCAGAGTACGACCACGACCTGGAACGTTCTCGCACGTACTTTCCAAACTCGAAAACTAAATCAATGCCCCAACGTCGATGCCATTGTCAAGCTTGTTGAAGACATCTTGGCTGTATGCACGTAGTCGCTTCCCAAGTCCTGCTACATCCCGGAGGCGGTCTCTGCCAGCCAGCTACATCGAGAGATTCACCCCTCCCTGTCTCGAAGTCGCCACCACATCTGCAACCTGACATCAAGCAACAGATGCTCGACTCTTGCACTATTGCTGGTGCTGGTGCTGGCGCCTATATGTTCGTTCCTGGGTGCATTGGTGTCGCGAGGCACTAAATGACAATGCGTAATAGGTCCAGGGTACGTGTATCCCCAATAGCGCTTCAGTAACAATCCTAAATACATTCATGTTCGTATCCGTATTTCCGCTTCATCGAACAAAAGTGAAAGGCGGCATCTTTCACAAACATTAGCTTGCGTCAACCTCGTGAAATCTCATTAAGTACTATGCCTCGCGCACTTTGTAATCATCTTGAGTGAATGTAAGCCAGTTGGCGTAAGTCGGGTGAGAAGACTAGGATGAGACATTGAATGCGGCGAGGAGATGAATCGAGGACGGATTGCTGAGTGACTGCAGTAGTGTTGCACGGCTTGACTCTTGCGCGCCCATTTGCCAAGCAATTGTAGGGACGACTGTCATCACACAGAGAAAAGAAGGACCACTGGCTGGTGCAAGTGCGGGTGGGCAGCTAATACCAGTAGAGGTATCCAGGATATTGGTTTAAACATTGTCGGACGTATAACAAATTACTTAACTAAATAGTATGACGAAAGCTTTGCCCAGACCTATATCTCCCTGAAATCTACTTCAGAACACCAATAGCATCACGAAAGCTGAAATAAATAAAAGCAAATTGTAGAGTACCGGACAGCCGTTAACTTCACGAAGCATTACACACCACTGCCAGTCAATATATGCACGCGTTCTTGGAAAGCGATTGAGGTCATGCCAGTTGCTGCGTCGGAGTCGGCCACGAGCTTAGCATGATATTCTCTAACACCAAGGATCAGGCGTGGTCCAAGTACGAACATCTGCACCACCTCCAAAATCTGAAGCAAGCCATAATAAGTGTGAATTTCTAGGGAAGATCGATCCTATAGAAATGATGAACTGTGGTCACATACGGAGGTAAGTGAAAGATTGACATACCGTTGAGAGTGTTGGAGAGAAATTAGTAATGAGCTGGAGGCAAGAAACAACAACAAAGCTACCACGTCCGACCCATCAGTGGAAAAAGGGAACAATAATCACGATATGAGCTCACCTCGCAAAGTAAAGCATGTGAGTTTTCATCAATGCCGTGAAACAGTCCCCTGATAATCCCTCCTGCCGAATGGCGTCGTAGTTCACAGAAGTGTTTAACTGCAATCCAGACTGCAAGACACAGTGTGAGGACCTCCCACACGGTGGCAAGTATCCAAACAGTGGAAATTAGAAGTGGCATATCTCCCGTGTAGCCAACTGAGCATTGATAGTTCCCGGAGAGAATGAATTCCTCTGGTATTCATCAATGAGCCCCATGGTCATTTTTTGTCATCTACAATTAGGCGTACCCCCTGAAGTACGTATCGTTGCTATTACGACGACCACTGTGTTGAAAATGCTGACAGCCAGGAAGATTACGACGAGAAATATCAGAATCTTTCTGGATTGTTGATACATGGCATGTAACCGAGTGATCATGATAACTTGTAGCATGTTTCAGTCAAGTCAATATCACTAATATCTTGCAACTGCCAAACTCACCCCACAGCATTTCGAATACCAAAAGAGACGTCCAATTCTGTAATATGGCGTACTTAACCCAGCCTGACGAATCCAGTCAGTGACGGGTAGCACACACTCCAAACAGACTCACATCTGTGGCAGTATAATGTGGCAGTCATTAGTGAACTAAAGAGTCAGTAAAGAGCCACACCCACTCCTACAGGGCACCGCGGTTACTTGGAGGGGAATATCAGGCATCTGTACAGACTACTCACTGTATCTGTCAGCGGGATGGTTGGAACAGTACCTGTATGCCGTTGGTCAGAAGAAGCAAATAAAGCGAATGTACTAAGGAGACATACTCAGCATGTCAAGGCTGATTATGAGAAATAAACGATTAGTGCAACACCGATTGTTCAGCCTTCCGAACATACCCAGGATATAAGATTCCAAGGTAGCGCACCTAGGATATTTTCAAGTCAGCATAAAATGACAACTGTGTCAGGCAAGCTACATACATCGAGATACAGAACTGTCATAAGGGACCAGCGTTGCCTCTGGAATTAAGTGTATTTCATGTGTGTTATCCTGACCTGAGACTGTACTCACCCAGATCAGTTCGACCTATGAAACTGTTCTTAGCAAAGTGGGTGCTCCAGTCATAGAATCAGCATACCTCTTGTCCCAATGTGAGCGCTAGAAATATTTGTAGGTGGTCAGCAGTTTTTTGATATCATCATGCTCACCCCAATCATACACCACTATAACAAAGGAGGCAACTGCGAAACCGGAGTCAAGATTAGATCGAGACATCAGCTTCAACATCAAACTGCTCTGCACGAACCATACAAATAGCCAGACAAATGATCTGCATTGATGGTCGGCCACAAAGTGGGATCATTTGAGACTATGGTCATATTGATAGAAAATGGGGGTGTTAGGCATATCGCATCGTAAGGATGCCAATAAATAGTTAGTGCGGAATCTGATACAGGACGCATCGCATTCAATTTGCAGCGTGCGGTTGATCGGATGTGGATGCATCGATTGGAGACGAAGGCCCGGTCATCGTCCACAGGAAGCCTTCAAATTATGTTCTGAAAGATTGATGATTATGTTCTTGATGAGGGCCGTCAGCTGAGCTTCAACTGTTGGCACTGGGCAGTACCATCCAAGCCAGAAATGTGAGAAAAAGAAGAAAATGCTACAAAGTAACAGTCAACCTGGGCTGCGACTCGATTACAGGAGTGAGAACAGCAAGGGCGGTACCACTATAACATTGTACACATACGCTACGCTAAATGCAATTGATGTATCTTGTCTATTGTATTAAAGCATGAATAACCAATTTGCGAATGCAAAATACAGCCTCTACCAGTGTTTTTCGTTGATTGCTGATGACCTTATACTAAATTCACAAGCCGTCGCCCCCGGTCGGGGTGGACACAACTGATACTGGCCAGCTGTGGTGCTATGGTGGCATCATGCTGTGTTGCTCTGCATTCATAGTTCTGTTTCCTAAGCGGCTCGGCAGGGCGCAGCGGTTAATTGGAGGGGGATGGCAGGCCCATTGGTGAAATTGAAGACTCACTGCATCTGTCAGCGAGATCATCGGAACATCGCCCGTATTCCGCAAGTCAGAAGAAGCAAGGACATTGAATGTGAGAAGACATGCCTACTATGCCCAAGCCGATCGCGAGAGATAATTCATTAGTGCAAGCACAGTCCTGCGCCTTCCAAACATACACAGCAGATAATATTCCAAGATCGCGCATCTAGGATACTTTACAATATAACAACTGTGACAGGCAAGCTGCACGCACTGAGATACAAAATTGTCAGTAGGGATCAGCGTTTCCTCTAGAATTAACTGTACTTTCATGTGTGTTCCTCTGACACGAGACTCTGCTCACTCGGACCAAAACCATGCTTAGTGAGGAAGCCGCTCCGGTCATAGCATCAATATACCTCTCGTCCGAAAGTAAGTGCTGAAAATACTTGTAAGATACTAGCAGTTCTTTAATATTATCATTCTCACTCCAATCATAAGTTACTCCAACAAAGGCGGCAACTGCCAAACCGCAGTCAAGGTTAGGTCGAGAGCATCGGTGTCAACATCTGGCTGTTCTCTACGAACCTACAAAATAGCTGTAAAAACGATATGCATTGATGACCGGTCACGCAGTGGGATCATTTGAGATTATGGTCATATTGGACGGGGGTGAGAGGCGAACTCGGTGGACGTATGGCGGTGGCGTTCGTGCTAGATGTACTACAATTGTGTGCTTGGATCACCAGAATGAGATCAAAAGATGATATCCGTTCCTGCATTGATTGCCCGAAGAAAGTATTTTCACATGAAGAACGATGAACTCAATCCGGGTGCTCGACATAGATGTTGGTCGCGAAGCAGCTGTGCGGGCTGAACACTTGAGCATTGAAAGAGATTGAAGAATTTCAACATGCATGCGCATCTTCTTGCGGTCATCGGACTTCCGTATTATAAGGATGCCAGAAATGGTGAGTGCAAAATCTTCAATTTGCAACGTGGTATTGGTGTGGTGGACAGGCATCAGTTTGCACAGCCGGAGATATCTTAGTTGAGAATCTGTGATTGATATCTGGTGAAGATACAACACCATCCTTAGATTAAGACAGCGCTGAGAAAGGGCATGGAAAAGAAGACTCGGGCGCACTGTTATGACCACATGAAGCCTGATGTGTGGTTCTTCAAACTGATGTCATAAAACCTGATCAACGAGCCTCAGTAGCGTCTATATCCCAGGGCTCTTAATTGCGCAATAACTCACCTCGGCCACGCAGCCGCCAAGGCACACCCCTCGACGCGAGATCAACTAAGAACCGATGCAAAACTTCGTCTAACAACGGCCTAGGTGTAATATGAGCTTTGAAAACGCTTGACATCTCAGTGGTTCTCAATCAGTATCAGCAGTCTCCGTTTCACGGGCCCGAACTTAATAGCACCTCCGAGGTCATTCCACAAGGTGGACCTATGCTGGACATGTAAGATAAATTTAAACAAGGGAGGTCCAAACGAAGCAGACAGATAACTCACCTGTACAGCGCCCTTCAAGCACAGCTTCAAATGCCCCTGCTCCTCCCTTCTGGCCCTCCACCTTGGTCATCGGCCTACCGTGTTGGTAAGTGCGGAACCGATACAAGGCGCACCGCACTCGATTTGCATAAATTGTCACAGCCTGATTCAAGACCTTGAGGCGCGAGAATAGATCATCCCTAGATTACAAACAGAGATGAGAGGAAACTAGGAGAAAAGAATATCCAGGTGTCGTCCTTACTCACAGGAAGTTGGCACGCCATCATAACGTCCGTGAAACATCGCCCTTCACTGCCAGCTGAAGAGTGTGCCCATTAAATGTCGACATGCTTCGCAGAGGGTCCAGAGAGGGAGGAAAATAGTCATCAGCTGATGTAGCTAGTAGTATGATGAATAAATAGTAACGAAGGAATGGTCATGAACTTGTGGGGCTTGATCTGGGAGTCGAATGTAGAACATAGGAACGCTGGCGCATCAGTGACCGAGTCAAAATAGCCATGTGCACCCTTCTCATTCATGTGATACTACGGCCTAAAGGCTCATGACCGAGATGGCAAATGCTAGAAGATAGCGAGCAGGACGTTTAGCTTGTGCTGTTTGTTTGTGTTCAGGCTATGGATAGAAACGGAAATTCTTGACGATGTGGGCGTAATTATAGATACATGCAAGAGCGACGTTGCACGCATAATCTGGATTCTGCAAACAGACGGTCCCATCTAACCAGACACCGAGCTGACTTCTTGGTGAAGTTGAGGATGAAAAATCTTACATTTGTCGATTTACTCAACGTATTTTGTCTCCAGGTTTTCCAATGTCCTCACAATATTACACAGTCTCACCGAGCCATTCAACCATCTCTCCTTCAATACCCTCGAATTGATAATTACTGCGAGCTTCTTCGACGGAACTGTGCCCACTCGATTGAACGGGCCAGCTGAATAACGCGCGACCAGGTTCATATGATATCCACGCTGTCAAATCACTTTCCCTGCGTACTAGTGTGCTGTGCATCCACAGAGATACCAATGCGTGGTGGTCCACTGTGAGTGGTCTTGAAATCTTTTCACAATCCCCGTCTCAACCTCACAGGCTTTCAAGTTCAGCTCCGGATTATCGTCCCCACCACCAGTGACAACTCATCGACCATCCCTTGATAACGTAACCACATATGTATTCTCCTCACAAAGACCCCACGCATCCTCAATCTCCCATTCGCTGACTGTCCAGAATATGGATCCAATATTGTCATCATGACCCTCCAAGGCCACTATCGATATCAATCGATTTCGTGGCGGCCAACTTGATTGGCACGAAAGTTATGGCTTATCGGCGAGCGAAACAGTCCAGTACGGGAAAAATATCCTCTGGATGTATTTGAAGGTGCAGTTGTGTGCTATGGCCTGGCATTGTCAGTCGTTTGAAGTTTCGCTCTGGAACACTTTGCATTTAAACTGTTCGTCAGTTCGTCCGTTCAGGAAATTCAGATTGAGAGTTGATCTTACCGAGAGCCTGGCAATTACAGAGAGGGAAATTTTGTACAACGTAGTCGTCCTTGTAAGGTGTGCTATTCGCTTCCCGACTCACAACCATGACCGAAGTTCCTGTGCTAGAGTGTTAATCTCCTGGCACCCGCCAGTGTTGCTGTGAACTTCTCAGTGGGGTATCTGGACCTCCAAATATTTGATATGCTGTAGCATTCATTCTTTCGTATTCATAATAAGCTTCGTTGCAGTTTCGCTTTGGACGCTAGCGGATGCGTGAACAGTTGCTATTGAACATTGCACGGACACCACTTTCTTCATGCCACCAGGCCAATCTCTCGACCGCTCTCAGGTACACACTCATCTTTCCGTTTCTCTGACTAACCGAAACAATCTTGAAGCGGTGCGTGAGGAAGATGTACAGAGCTTTGCCGTGTGATCACCAAAGCACGTGGTTTGCCTATCCAAGGTTCTGTATCGGATGTCCACGATTCATTTATGTTCTACACCATCATTCGATATTCAACGTTCGACCTCCCATTGTTACGCTTGGTGTTCGTGAGAACAGCTAAACAGTCACAAAGAGTCTAAAGCGTACACCTATGTACGAGTCGTGCGAGTTAAGCAGTATATTGCAGGCCCTGGTCTGCATAGGTCAAGTTAAAGAATACAAGCGTAAGAGATAGAGTATATATAAGGTGATTAAAGCGGAGCTTTAATAAATGAATCGGAGATGAAAAGTAAATAGCGAATCAGAAAAAGAAAAGAGAATCATACGATAGAATGTTATAGAATGTTCTGTGAATATGTGATAGTGTGAATAAGTGAAGAGGTGAAAGGAAAAAGAATAGAACTGTAACATTACCCCCGTTGTAAGGGTAGTAGGCACCGACTACTATCAAAGAAGACGATGCGATCGTTTATAATTAGTGAGAAGTTCAGAAGCGTTACCTAGTTCGGCCTCCTTCATCCATTTGTTCTCGGAACTCAGGAATCCCTTCCACTTTACATAATATTGGCGTCTAGATGAAGATCCGCGGTGTCCGACGACCACTTCAACTTCGTGTTCTTCTTTGCCATCGACTAAGTCTGGGGGAGGCGGAATATAATTAGGGCCGTGTGTATCGTTCTCTTTATAAGGAGAAAGGAGTGCGGCATGGAATACGGGGTGAATGCGCCATTGTGACGGTAGCGTGAGTTGATAAGTGATAGGAGATAAGACGTCGGTGATTAGGAATGGTCCTTCGCATTTTGGTGCGAGTTTCTGATTAGGATATCCAAGGTGGAGGTTTTTGGCTTCTAGCCATACTTTATCGCCTTTAGAGAATGGTATGAATTTAGACGTGATTCGTTGACGCATAGTGTTATGTGCGAGTTCATGAGCGGCTAGCGCCTCATCTCGTGCTTTATTAAGCAAAGATAGTCGTTGTTCAATATTAGGGATATCGGATTTCGGATGGGAATCAGGAAGGTGGTGTGGGTGATAACCCATCATAAGATAAAAGGGTGAGGTACCACGTGCTGAATGATGGCGCGAATTATGAACGAATTCGGCAAGTGGCAACATGGGCGCCCAACCGGTTTGGTCGTTAGCGCAGAAGATCCGGAGGTAGACTTCGAGTTCTTGATTTACTCGTTCGGTCTCTCCATCACTCTGAGGGTGGAATGCGGTGGAAAGGGAATTCTTGTATCCGAGGAGTTTTCCGAGTTCGACCTGGAATCTGGAAGCGAACTGAGGTCCGCGGTCAGAGATAATTTTATCGTAGAGTCCGTATCTAGAGAAAACTTTAGAGAAGAAAATGTTCACGACGCCTTCAGCGTCAATAGTTTTGAGACAAGGGGTGAAAATTAAATTACCCCCTTCGAAAGTCCGTGGTCGACCATGACCATAATAGAGTCGAATCCGTCGGAAAGGGGAAGGTCTGTGATAAGATCTACCGAACAGTGGGCGAAGGGTCGGTTGGAAATAGGGGCGGGAATAGGGAATAGGGGTGGTGTCGAGGGGTGCGTGTTTACTTTATTCTGTTGGCAGATGCAACAGCCCTCGACGAAGTTCTTGACAAAGGTAGCTAGTCCAGGCCACCAGTAGTCGCGAGAAAGGAGTTCCTGGGTTTTGAAACGTCCAGGGTGTCCGGCGGTGGGAGAGTCGTGATGGAGGGAGGTGAGTTCTCGTCGGAGATCTCTGGGGGGTACGTAAGTAAGTCCTTTAAATGAAAGGATTCCGTCGCTCAATTTCCAATCGGAAAGAGCGGAGCGAAGTGGAGGGGGAATGGAAGAGTCTGTAAGCGCTTGAAGCGCAGTGTGTACTACTGGGTCAATGGAAGATGAAATACGTAATCTGTCCGTAAAAGAAGTGTCAATGACGTTGATAAACATCGAGTCAGGAAGAAGTTGGATGCTAATATTGTCCTTTTCGTCATTATCAACCGGAAGGTGATCCGTTCTACGAGATAATAAATCGGGAATAATGAGTTCTTTTCCAGGTATGTGCTGGATTTGGAGTTCGAATTGGGAGAGGAAGGTTTGCCATCTTGCTTGGCGTCAGTTAAGGTCTTGTACGTCTCTGAAATAAGTAAGGTTCTTATGGTCAGTCTGTACGGTTACGGGATAGGGGGAGCTGAGAAGGTAGTGTCTCCACGCTTTCAAAGCGCGGACGATAGCGAGTAACTCGCGGTCATAGATCTGATAATTACGTTCAGCGGGATTAAACGATTGAGATAGAAAGGAACAAGGGAGCCAGTCTCCGTTGTCGTTCTTTTGAAGGAGTACTGCGCCGGTTGCATAAAGCGATGCGTCAGTAGCAATCGCGAATGGGGAATTCTTGTCGGGTATTTGGAGAATAGGGGATGAGGTGAAAATACGCTTCAGCTTATTGAAAGCTTCCTTGCGTTCGAGTGTCCAAGAGAATTCTTCGTCTTTCTTGGTAAGGTCGATAAGAGGTCTAGCGATTGAAGAATAGTCAGCAATAAACCGTCGGTAGAAGTTAGCAAATCCGAGGAATGATCGGACTTCCTTCACTTTCGTGGGAGTCTTCCATTCGGATATACCCTTTAATTTGGCAGGATCCATGGCGATAGAACCAGGTTTAATGATCATTCCGAGGTATTCAATATCGGTGACATTAAAGGTGCATTTCTCGGGTTTTAGGTGGAGGAGGTTATCGCGGAGTCGTTGAAGTACCTTGTGAGTACGAATACGGTGGGTCTCGTCGTCTTTGGAAAAGATCAGTATATCATCCATATAAATGATAATCCACCCCTCCTGGATCATATCTCCGAACAAATCGTTCATCATAGACTGGAAGGTAGCGGGCAAATTACACATTCCGAAGAACATGACCGTGGGTTTGAAGAGTCCTCTGGAAGTAGCAAAAGCTGCCTTCCATTGATCAGTTTTTCTCATACGTACGTTATTATAGCCCCATCGAATATCCATCTTGGTAAAGATCTTGGCGTCCTTTAGCTTATCTATAAGATCTGAGATTAGCGGTAAAGGATAGTTATTCTTAACCGTGTGTTCGTTCAAGTATCGATAGTCCTGGCAAGGTCGGAGGGAACCGTCTTTCTTCCCGACGAAGAAGAATGGGGAGGATTGAGGGGATTCGGAAGGAACGATAGTTCCTTTGGCTAGATGTTCGTCAATAAAATCGTTCATCGCCTTCTCTTCTTTGGCGTTAAGCGGATAAATCTTGCATTTCCGCGGTTCGAAAGATTCTTTGAGGTCGATCTTGTGGTCGTATTTGCGTTCTGGAGGAAGGGTGCCGTTAGCTACATCACCAAATACGTCCTTATATTGTTGGAACTCTTCGGGTACGAGTTCTTCGAAGGTTTTCTTTGGTTTGGCGGCG